AGACGCAAAGGAAATTCCAAGAAAACATACTACTCACGTGCCTCCCCATCAGCAGTATCATCAAAAGTGGCCTCTCTGGTCCCGCAGCAGCGACCCATGTTCGCCTACTATCATAGTTAGCCCCATTTTTGACTCTGGTTTAATGACTGAGGCCGACTCACCTTTACGAATGATTTGGTCGTGCGTACAGAAATATACCTTCAATATGGTTACTCGAATAATTTCTATAGTACCATGCATCCAAGTAACCTTCCCGTGTTACAATCTTCATTCTTCCTACATCAAACTTTTGCCCCTTTCGATCTTAGACTTTGGAAACAAGACTAATTTGTCTTGTGTTTTGATAGCTGCGTTCTGATTCTTCACCATAGCAGAAAGTTTTTGCAGTCTGTTGAGTATAATATTTTTTGCCATCCACGCAACGCATTGATGACATCACCTCGACTGGTGATAAAAACTTTTGAAACTAAATTGCTCAGCTCAGTGAGGAAACCAACAGACAGGCTAATGATTCAGTTGGATTCAACTAAACAAATCCATCATACACATTTCGTGTTGTCGAACATAAGAATTTGCCGTAAATTTCTAGTGAAATCTTTCCTCAAGTTTTAATTTAGGGTTCTGCAAATCGTATGCGTGAATAGGAGAAGTTGACTATTGACGAGTTTGTAATAGTATCTTGGTACAAGTCCGTCTCTCATGGTCATTTTTTCATGAATTTGGGGGCATTACTTGCACTTTGATCCAGCTGGGCCTTATTGTGGCTAGACAAAACAAGAGAGCGGACACCATGTCAAAATATTTTCCAGTTTTATAGCAGTAACATAGCATTGAATAATGCGTAGAGGGTGATGAAAGTTTCAACGGGATCTTACTGTGTGCACAACTCTCTCGTAAAACCTTTATAGAAGCAGGGTTTATTTACGTAACGAATTTTGGTTAGTACATACTGCCCTCTCAATCTGCTTCGTGAGTCAAACTTTGATTTGTAAACAACCTGTCAATTGGCTGGGCTCTCCTCCTATGAAGTACTGACCAAGATTTCATCCTACTGATGAGTGATCTTTAAGCCGAGGCCTTCGGTACCACAACACAGGGATAGATGTTGAGGCTAGTAGCAGTTCCTCGGCTCATGTGGTAAGAAACCCCAAAGTGCGCTAATGGCAATCGCGGAGCTCAGTTTTTGATTCCGTTTTTTCGTTATTCCGACAAGAACTGTTATCAAATCCCCAGTAAAGCAGTAAATACTACTGATAGCATTTAGATGAACTGTCTAAAACTTAGCTTCTTTTCCTGGAGGGTCACTCGTCGTGACTTCAGCAGTTTTTATCTCAGCTGCGTTAAAATAATTAGGTTATATCCATTGTAATAAAAAACCCGACACTCCCTTAACTTGCCACTTTAACGCAAACGAACACCAAACCAATATACACCCTGGATCACCAACACGACTAATGTGACTTAATTAGGCGATAAAATATTGTTTTGATAACCTTTTGCATGCACATACTCGACTCAAAATAGAAATGAATGCCATCAACATCGGGCAGTCTTAGAAGTAGAGTTACATTGAGTTTACAAATGAAATATGAGGCAGTATTTTTTGTGACACATTCAACTCAACAACTGAATAAGCAAAAGATGCCATCTTGTATCCCGTCAAGTTCAAATGAGTGTCTGCCTTCTTATCATACCCGCGTTAGTGTTGACATTCAGACGAGGAGGCCTAACTTATGAACCCCAAGTGGGCTATGGGTTGTTGAGTTTAAGTTTGACGGTGCGGCGAAGTGAATGAAAAATTCCAAATTTAGATGAAACTGAATGAATTCTATGCGTACTAACTACACTCATTTACACACTCTCTTGGTTTGGAAATGAACCCAGTTCAACCTCTCATTCGTGATGTTCTAAACAAACGAATGTACTTCATAAGGCGTCTCATGCTCCAGAGTGTACGATGTTCGAGATGTCGC